TATATTAACTATATAAATATATTATATATATAATATATACATACATACATATAAGTCTGGATATTTTAATAGATACAAATAATATTTGTAAAATCCTTTAAAAAGACCATGTTTTGGTTTGGTAAAGACAAAAATATCTTAAAATCTATAGTACAATTATCCAGGATAATTTCATTAGAAACAGAGCTTTGTAATACTAAGAACTACATTTAGATGCATAGCCACTTTTTCTTGTGTCTATTTATTATTCATAGTGAAGGGCTTTCAGTGAACTACATCAACACCAAAACCATGTACTCCTACTTTACCTGTGAAGATATGGTAAGAATGAGCCCATGAGATGGAGAAAACACAAAGAGAGGCAGAGATGCAAATGAGTGAGTAGGCAGAAGACAGAGAGATGAAAGTCCTGGTGTTCACACCCTCCAGTCCTCTACCCTTTACTATTGGGCTTGTTTTCTGCAGAAGAATTCTCCACCCAAAGTTATCTCACTGTCTTTTTGTTTTGTTTTGTTTTGTTTTGTTTTGTGACTGTGTGTATGTGTGTGTGTGTGGGGGGGGATAGCGGTGAAGGTCTTTGGTTTTATTTCGTTTGAGATAGGATCTCATTCTTTAGTCCAGACTGTCCTTGACTTCACCCTCCCAAGTGTTGGATTTACATATACACTTGAGAAGAAGTTAATGATAAGGAGATAAGACCTTGACTTACTTATCATTTAATTTACATTTCTCTCCAAAACCCTTGGTAGTGCTTGATAGTTAGTGCTGTCTCGCACAATGCCTTCGCCAGACATTCAAGAGAGAATTGGCCTCTAATTGCGGAATAGAGTTGTTTTAAGTTTCAGAATGCAATGGAAGGAACACCAGCCTAGCATGAGGAGGCACATCCCAGTCTCAATATGAGCATTGTCACCTGGACAACCTTGGAAAAGCAGGTGCCATTCTTTCCTCCGTTAACTAGAGTTGAGACCAAAATCACAAAGGGTCCAGACATCTTACTTCTTGGAACAACTGTTACAGGGGATTCTGAGTTTGTTTTTGTTTTGTCATGTTTGGCTGTGACAAAGTCTTGTGATTTTGTTCGGGTTGGCCTGAAACTAACAGTTCTTCTACTCCACCCTCAGAAGAGTTGGGATTACAGGCATACAGCTTGTTTTAGGGAGTAATCATATAATTTATTTCCAATAAAACTTGGCTCTCAGTTTAACTCTTCCTTATTGAGTGACCTCTAAATCTCTGACTAGCCTAGTGTCTGAATTGCAAATGTACTCTCTTTAAATCTCTACTACATAATCAAAATTTTTAAAATTTAAAGATTTCTTAAATAACCTTTTATTAATTTAGTAAATTTTTGCCAATTAATTCCTCAGTAGAATGTTGACAGCACTGTCATAAAATAAGCCTACAATGCTAATAGCCCCAGCCATACTACAATACAAATATATCTGACTCAGTAAGATACATTTTAGTGTAGTCCATTACAAATCCAGAAATGCTATCTTTTCTGAACCATTTCTAGTTCAAACTGCTTTCCAGTATTTTAGCTTCTTCTTTTTTTCTACTTGGTTAAGTATATAGAAATGGTGTATTTCTCACAGGATACAGATGTTTTTAAGAAGTTAAAAAACTTTTTTCAGGGCTGAAGAAATAGCTTGGCAGTTAAAAACACTTACTGTTCTTCTAGAAGAACCAGGTTCTGTGTCCAACACCCACCTCTGGTGGCTCACAGCCACCTATAGCTCCAGTGGATCCAGTGCCCTCTTCCGGCCTCTTCAGTCACTGCATGTATGTAGTATACACGCAGACAGACACGCATGTACAGATATCAAATAAATGATACAAACACACATTTGCTTTGCCGTGTGAGGGATCACCCCTTAACTAGCTATTTTCCAAATTTGGGTTTCATTCTTTCTGTAAGTTTGTATCTGGAGCCTTCATAGTGCTAGTGTATTGACCGCTTGCTTATGAAAACTGCTAACAGCTTAGCTGTCCATGTGTCCAGAAAGTTGCCTAACCAAGACCTAAAATACGACAACACAAATTGACCTGCCAGTATGGAAAGAGAAAGTCTCAAAAGGTTCTTCTCCTAGATGATATGCCGTAGCTACTAATGGTTACTGAGATGTCACTTTTGGGGAGTGTGTGCCCAACACATTGAAGTCCCTGGGTTCACTCTGGTTCTAGAAGCTGAGTGTTTTCCTGTTCAACACCTGGAAATGCCAAGTCGTATATATTACACATCTTCTTAAGTGCTGAGCTGATTTACAAGAAAAAGCGTAGCACCAAGGACCAAAAACAAACAAAATGCTTAAGCTCCTATATGAAACGGGACTGTGGCTGCAGCAGCAGCTGGAGTGTGAGATTAGCCGATATGCTTGGTATTTATTGTCCAGTCAGAGGAAGTCTTAGCTGAGATATGTCCCCAGATGGAATTTAAAATTTAGATCTCAAAGAAATAAGAAAGAAAGAAAGAAAGAAAGAAAGAAAGAAAGAAAGAAAGAAAGAAAGAAAGAAAGAAAGAAAGAAAGAAAGAAACCAATGAAATGATGGACCAAGAAAATAATCTGCCCCAGCTTTATAAACTTGAGTGTGTAATTAGTATCTAAAGTGTGCAAAATTAGCCTTTAAATTTTCTATGAGCTTGTATTCAATACTTTTGTTTTATTAGATATAAGTGAAATGTCAAAGTTAAACCTAGGGGCCATGAAGAGATGACTCAGCGTTTAGAAGCTCACGCTGCACTGCAGAGAGCACAAGCTCAGTTCCCAGCACCCGTCAGGCGCCTCGCGGACACCTACAACGACAGTGCCACCAAAGGCTCCAGATGCCTTCTTTTTGCCTGCACAAGCACCCGCACTCGTGTGTACATCGCACACATGCACGCGTGAACACACGCACGCACATACAACTAAAATTAAAATAAGTGGAAACTGCATAGAATACCTCTGCCCTGGTGATCACTTCGGGGCATCTGGTATTTAAGAACACGAAGATGTTAGTTCTTTACCTAAGCTTCCTAGATTATCCATAGAGAAAGCTATACCGATTCTAGCATTATGAAACTAAACTGATTATTTTCATCCTTAAGGAATTCAGCCATAAAGCTATCATATACATAAACTGTAGAACAGTTGTATTTAAGCTATTTTTTATTTTTAAACAGGCTCAGAAATTTAATTAAAAAAAAAAATCCCACAGCATAAGAACAGAACATTGTACTGTGTGAACCAAATAAGAGATTTAAATCAGCCATTCCAGAAGTAGAACTTAAACAGCTTAAAAGTACACACCCTAAAATGAGAACTTTGTGTAACAGGAGGAGGTTAAAACGAAAATTGGAGAAATCTCTGATGAAAACTAAAATAAAATACAATAAAAATCACAGTGTAACTATTTATGGAATGTTAGTTGGATGCTAAAGAAATCAACTACAACCCAAAATGGACAGATGGAGAAAAATGAAATATATAATTTGTTATATATGTAAAAATAAGTTTCAGGATAGTTTTTATGAAACTGAAAGGAAGAAAAATAGAACAAAAACAGGACAAACAAAGCAGTGCTTTAAATAATACCGATTGGTAAGATGCTAAAATTAATGTTGCCCCAAATTATCCAAGAGCAAACACACAGTATCCTAACTAAGATATGTGTGTCACTTAGCACTTACACAGTGAAGCTACAGTGATGGAGAGGAAGACAAACGTTTCATTACAGTGTATATGTATGTATGTGTGCGGGTACCACTGAGTGTGTATGATTCTATTCTGAGGGCTGGATTCGATTCTCTTCTACCATGTGGGTCCCAGGGATTAAACTTCAGTCATGTTAGGCTTAGCAGCAAGTACCTTTACCTGCTCACCATCCCAATAGCCACAGAGCAAGAGGAAAACTGAGTACAAAGTAATCCCAACTGAACTTCAGCATGCACACATATCCCTCTAACAATGGAATAATGCCTACAAAATGCTTACAGAACTGTCATAGTACATACTATACAAAATACAACTAGACTGTCACTCATGAGTATACCCAAGACATTTTGATATGAAAATTTGACTCAAAAGCTTCTGTTAAAAGAAGAAACTAAATTCAGATTTATTGCGTGAAATTCAAGAAGCAGTGAACAGCAAGAAAATCAAACAGAAATATATTCATGTTGATACAAATTATTATTTAATGTATAAGATTATGTATTTTAACAGTGAAGTATCCTGCCACTAAATGCTCACATCCTAATAGCAGCAACATGAGGTGGAAATAAAAATGAGGATGAAGTCTGGAGATGATAGTGGATGCGAATAAAGAAATCAGCTTGCTGTAGTCAAGACCAGCTGAAATTAAAACAAAGATGAAATAGGGCTGGAGAGATGGCTCAGAGGTTAAGAGCACTTCCAGGGGTCCTGAGTTCAATTCCCGGCAACCACGTGGTGGCTCACAACCGTCTACACTGGGACCCGATGTCCTCTTCTGGCATGCAGGTGTGCACGCAGGCAGAACACTGTATACATGATGAATACATTTTTCCAAAAGCCAAAGTAATATTCGAGAGTTCTTGTACTACTGTGGGTGTGATGTGTAGCTCCTACTTAACTGGTGAAACCTGAAGATCTCTTTGTTGTTCACGTTTAGTTAGGGACCAAAAGTAAAGTTATATACAGATACGTGAATATACAAAAAGATTGACCGTGAAGTACTGTTATAGTTGGTTGGTTCGTTGTTTTTTTTTTTTTGTTTCCATCATAAATATACATGGCAGGGAGTCACAGACCTGGAAAACACTGGATCACTGTCTTCATATGAGGTCTAACTGCCAGCTGACCTATGAAATGCAATTCAGCCTCAGAGCTGGGTTTTAAGAAATGCTAAAACACGCAAACTACATGTGTTTTGCTAGAAGGAAAGTCTTGGTGGAGAAATATTAAAATTTAAATTTGATTAATATATTTTGTAACTGAAGGCTTTCCTTCTCTCTCTCTTTGATTTACCCTTTGCAGGTTAGCCAGTATACATTTGCTATGTGCAGTTACAGAGAAAAGAAGTCTGAACCACAGGAATTAATGCAACTTGAAGGCTACACTGTGGATTACACAGATCCTCACCCAGGTAATTCTAAGTGGACCACTTGTCTGGTCACGTGGGGATGTGTGCAGCTCTGGAACTTCTTGTTCTCCACTTAGAACTCTCCTTGGTGAATAGAGGACTTATGTGAAACTCATGTGACTCCTGGACAAGACTTTTTCCACTTACATCACCTGCTTCTCTGTCATAATTCATACAATGATGTAATACTTACATTTTAACAATAGGAAAATTAACTGAAATATAGCAATGCATACAGAAACTTTACTGGGAAGCAAAATTACAAAACAATTATATAATGAATGACAAATAAAAGATAGATACATACATACATTCATGCATACATACACATATAGATGCATAAATATGTAGATAGATACATAGAGAGATGGATGGATAGGTGGATGGATGGATGGATGGATGGATG